ATATATATATGTATGTATAGATATCTATATATATATATATCTAGATATCTATATACATGGCAAGGCGACTTCATATCACCTGCGCTTCTCAATAGCTTGTCCCGAAGTGGAATTTACAGGCTAGGTAGGATACATGGTTTGTAAATCAATAGCAGGCAAGTAGGTCCCTTACGAGTTCATAAATAACATAGTTCTCATTACTTATTCGGACATGAATTTTTCGATTTTTTCAGACAACACCTCTTTTCTTTTTTCGATCAGCTGGTTCTTCTTCCTGATTTCTGCAATTTTCTTATCCAGAGCTTCTTCATGCTCCTTTGATCGGACCTTACCGCAGTCGGTTTTGGCCTGTGGCTGTTCTTCCGAAGATTTAATCCCCTCTTTAATTTTATTCCCACCACTGATTTCTGCCATCAGTAAATCCAATAAAAACTGCAAGCAAAGATTTTCTGAAAATAGATTAAAAATTAACTTTCGCATCAACCCTTCATAGCTGTTTCCAGATTATTCTGGAAAATGGATAAATCCCTGTCCAAATCGTTTGAGAAACAGTGTTTAAGCACCCTATGAATACACATATTAGTTTTGGTGAAGTTTGTTTAACTGAAGCTGAGAGTTACGTCTGTAGATGTCTTACTAAAAACAGACTACACGTTACAGTCTCTAGTTACAAACTGCTTATCGAATACCGTCAATCAGGCCAAAACTCGTAACTCTAGCGATGGTTTCGAGGTTTGAAATCGGAAGAAGTATGTCAACTCTGTACTGACACTAGTGACATGCGGGCTCAAAAGTCGGCAATGACGAACGCTAACCGCGACGAAGAGTGGTAAAGCAAAAGATGCATAAAATCCGTCACTGCAGCTAAATTACGTCGAACTACAAGAGAAAATCCAGTGAGCAAAAAATGTTAACCTCTTTACTAACAACCAGTGGACAGTGTATCTGTAAGTGGTGCTTGCAAAGAAGTGGGAAAACACTATTACTCGGTCAGCTCTCATACAGTATTTAGACCATGAGTACTAGAACATCTGTGTAGCACCTTCATTGTCATCAGGCTACATATACAAGCTGATTCAAGCGCCGTGTGCCCCTGAGTGAATCTCACACAGTTTCATGATCCTTTTTAACTGCAAATGCTGGATGAACTGGTCGCACCAAAATGCATTGTTTTTTACTGCACGAATTAGAAAGGCGCTGAAGTGACCAGAAAGTCGAAGCGACAATGTGTTTTTGTGATTGTTTACTGGGGTTCCCAGTCAGCAAGACCTCTCAGTGGATCTGGGAGAGAAGATGAACAGTTCCAGTTCTGAAGCAAAGCTGGAACTATTTATCTGCTTTTGAGAGGTGTCGTTTCACTTTCGTCCAACACAGCTGCACTACAGGGCGCTGGCGGTTTGAAGCATTTCTTACAAATGCTCTTTTTATCTGTGCAAAGCTTATATAAGGTCTTCACGTTCAGCTAGCGTAACCGGCTGAATATTGCTAGCGCAGTAGCCGATAATGAACATCTGGCGCAACTGTGGCAGCATCATACGATGGAAGTGCGCTTTGACTATGTCAGGCCAACAAACATGCAAAAACAGTGCAGTTAGCATATTGGTTTTTTATGCGTTTTGCATATATGCAAATTGCAAAAACGCATATTGGGAAGAGGCTGTGTGTGTGTCTGTGTGTTCG